TTCGTAATAAATATCAAAGGTCTTAAATGACTGGATCGAGTCCGGTCCATGGATCGATAGTTTTTTTTTTTAAATAGAAAAACCATAGGCTAGACCAAGTCTATTTGATATTGCGATGAGAAGAATTTTTGAATAAAACATAAAATTGTCAAAAGATGTTTCGTATTTCCAGTCAATTTTTTCTTTCGAAAATCCTATGTAATTCTTCCATTGACTAAAACATTTCTGCAATGAATAGCAAATATATAAAGCAAAACAAAGAAAAAGAACATATTGTCATCACTTAAAAAAGAACTTTGTTTATATTCAACAAAAGATCCTTGTCTAGTTCTTCTCGTTTATCAATAATTCCAACATGATCATCCAGTGCTTTTCCTAATTCTATTTCTACTGATTCTTCTCAAATCATAAATGTTTGTTGATACTTTTTCTTCAACTACTGCTGCCAGCTTATCGTTACATACCAAACAGTATACATTCGAATAGATCAAATGTTTCTTTTTGAAATAACAACCATCGACATATGCTGTTATTAAAAATGAACAAGCCAACATATTTTTATGTTGGAAAGTTTTTTGTTTTTCAACTAAAAAGTCAGAGGATACTGGTGAATTCAAGAGAATTAAAGATTTTTCAGATTGTCAAACATGTTACCAGACATTTGTTTATACATTAACTATTCGTACTCAAACTATACTTGTTCATTTATCTCTTAAAAATTTATCCCATGCAATTAGATGGATGGTTCACCTATGGATGAGCTATTTTTTAAGAAAAAATATAGACTAGGCCGGATCGAAGATCGATAATCTATTGTCTTGCTTTCTTCGGCTCAGCCTAGTCCATTGAGACCTCTGATAGAAATCTCAGAACGTATATTTATAGGCATTTTTGTAAACCTATCTAGTGTTTTTTTGAGAAAAGGCTAAATGTATGCGCTTGGGGTTTATTAAAATATAAGTGATCCAATATAGTTTTTCAGACTGATTTCAAATTCACTATATATTTTGCTTGTCAATTGAGCTATGATGGTAAACACTAATAAACGCAGAGGCGTTTTTGACCGTTTTGCTACACTAATGAGATAATATTCAATTTTCTCAACAATAAAACAAAATTTAAAAAAATGAAATACGTATTTTGCCAGTTCGAGATCCATTGGATAATTTTAATAGAATAAAACATTTGGTTTTACCTTTTCTTACACAAAAAAAAAACTAGACAGCAAAGATGAATTTGTTTTGGATTTTTCAAAACTTAAACCGAACTGAAAAAAAGAATTTTAATTTTATTAGAGATAACTAGATCTATTTAATTTTTGTTGTAATAATCGTTTTATTTCAAACGATTGTTATCTAAACTTCTTTTCTTAAAATAAAAGAGTCCTACATAATAGAAGGTTTTCCTAAAAAAGAAGCGTTGCCTCACACATAATAGAAGATCTTCTCGTAGTTGACTAACTAATTACCAAATTGTCACTTTAATCAATATACGTAATTCAAAAATATCTTGTTACAGAATTTTCATTTGGAAACCAATGAAATTTGAAGGTATAATGATTTCTCCGTCTTTCTCATCCACAAAAAATCCATTCATATCTTTCAAACTGTTCTACTTTTCTG